CCAATGTTGTCTTATTCTTAAAGTACTGTTGGCCTATTGATGTTGGAATATAGTATTGGGGGTGGGGGAGACACCAAGAATATGTGTGCTGAGTTGTTAATACAAGTGTGTATGCTTGTGACAAAATACGAGCATGCTAAAGAAACTTTATTTCAAGCGAGTGTAAACAAAACATGCAGCACTCCAAATTTACCTTTAGAAAAGTTTTTTTGCAAGTACAATTTGTGAAGATCATTCTAAACAATAAACAAAGAAAAGGTGAATTTTTTAATAGTTTTGGCTTATGCCTCTCATACCTTCCTAACGATTGTCTTAAGTGTTAAAGTTAAAAGTAGAGTTTTTTTCGTGTTGGCATTATGTTACATTTACAATTTTAAATATAAGTATATATGTAAAAATGATATTTAGAATAAAAAGTATCTAGCAGTAGCGAAGAGTTGGCAGCTTTTATTTTCTGAATACTTTATAGGATAGTAAGAAATTTAAAATTTTATTTTAATAAAAAGAAGCTTTAAAGAATGCTGTTAGTGCATCTTCTTGCTCTTATTGTAGATCCAAGGGTACTACTGTCACACATTATTCACTCCAGTTATCCATGTACATTTTTAATGCTTAGAAGGCTGAATGTTTGGGTCATACCAGAAAAGAGAGGAATAGAGGATACCTTGTGTTCAGGATGATTTAAGTTTGCATAAGCTGTTCAGAGGGTTCCTTTAGAATTATTTTCATTTTGATGGCTTTAAGTGTATGCCATGAAATTTTATTAACTACATTGTTTTGCAATTCTGAAACCAAAAATCAGAATTCCTGCCTCAAGAGTGTTGGCTGCCATGACTGCTGCCAGACTGCTTTCAGTACCTCACTTAAATCTGATATCCCGGCAGTATAATGCAGCCCAATGGAAGTGCCTTTGTATTTATCTGTTTTTACTCAGTCACTTTCAGAACAAATCAGTATTTTAACAGTGTCTGTTGCCTACTACCAGGCACTGTAGAATGTGCATGCACGTACTGTGTAGCTCTTACGTGTTCCTTCAGGCTTTATTTCCACTGTATGCATACAGTAACCACTTTTCATCATGCATGTCTTTGTCAATCAACTAACTTTTTTCCCCTTTTCATTGAAGGCTGTTTATATGCCAATTTTAAAAATGTTGACCTTTTAAAATATCTCTGCATGAGGAGAAATTGTCACTAACTTCTGAAAGGGAAATCTTTTTCCCTACCCCCCACCTTCTTGAAAACTAAAATACAGTTGTATAGATCAAGTCTTCCAAGAGTAAACTTTTTAGGCAGAAATGAAACACAGAACATTATAGTCTAAATTGTTCACATAAAAGCATGTAAAGCAAGGTATCATTATAGGCAAATATTTTGCAGCTTTAAAAATGGCAAAGGCTGCTTGACGTTCACAGTAACTTAAGTTGTACAATGAGAAGTTGTTTTGCACAGACTTGCTTGTTAACGTGCATGAATTTTGGAAGGTTAAGATGCTAAGTAGTTTTGTCAAAAATTAGATTTTGTCCAGGTAATGTGATTGATGAAAGTTTTACTCTATACAGTTTGAAATGCTCACTGGTACTCTACCTTTCCAAGGGAAAGACAGAAAAGAAACCATGACTATGATTCTCAAGTGAGTACACTCTTATTTATATATCTCATCAGGTATTCTACAGGGATGCCCTCCGGGCTGCAATATCTAATTTCTACTCTTCCCTCATTTCCAAAGGTACTGGTAAATCCTCACTCCCTATTCCATACTATTAATTCCCTCTGCTGCCTATCTAATTTGCCTTTCTATTCCTCCCCCATATCAGGTACAAAGAATTTCATAGCAGCTCTTTAATCTGTAATAATAACTTTTCCAACCATATGATCTTTCCCATCTTATTTCCATATTTTTTAACTTTCTTATCCTTTTTGATAACCTGTGCATTTTTTCCTTGTTTTTGTTTTAGCTTTTTTTTTTTGAGAAAGTATTTTCTCTCCTTATCCTTCTCTATCTTACCAGCTCCTTACCCCACTTCTTTATATTACTGGTGCTGCCAATAACTTGTTTCCCTGATACTTCCCCTATTTGCTAAAGTGCATCTTCCCTTATGTACTCTCCTATGACATGCCCAAGCTCCATTTTTCCCCTTTGCTATTTCCAGTATAGGTTTTGCATTAGCTATATTGTGGAAATTGCTTTCCTTCATGCAGTTAACATTTTTGTTTTTGCTGATGAAGGCCTGTTTTTTTTTCCTTGCTGATCCCCTACATATTCTCTGAACTCATACAGCCTGTGACATAAATGTCCTGCTTTTGGGACTGTAGCCTAATGCTGTGCAAACAATTCTGTTTCCTCGTGTCATAGTTTCACTTCTCTGTTTCCAGCCATTTTTTACTAATACAATTTTTTTCCATGGAAGCTCATAAAACTCATCTTTTTTCTGCTTCATCGTTTATCATTGTTCTTAGTCCCGTTACCGCTTGTCTACCTATATATCAAAGCCAGCATTTCTTTTGCAGCAACAGCCTGTTTGAATATATGAAATTCTTTCGTATTTTTTTGACGTAATTAGAATGTGAAAACTGATAGAAAACAAACTCATTCTTTTCCTTGCTTTTGCTTTCATAATGCATACGTATTAAGTTATTCTTTGCCCTTGTTTTTCTTCCTCATCTTATATTTGCAAATGTATTTAGTGGTGCTAATTTCTTCTGTTGCCTCAATACCATGCCAGTTCAAATCTTCATGTTGTGATTATTGAATGTCTTTAACTAAAAGGTTCTATCTATTCACAGCAAGCATAAACTCCTTCTGACCACCTCCTATTTACAGGAAGCTAGTCTGAGATAGTTCTGCTGCACTGTCACTTATTTCAGGAGCCATGAATTTTTTTTCCATCCATGTCTCACGAGTCACATCTTTCTCTTCTCCACCTGCATGTGATTCCACTCTGTTCCTCAATAGTCTTTCCACTGTTGCTACAAAAATCTTCTGTATTCATCTGCCATGTAGAATATCCTGCTTGTATCTCCCCAGTTAACTGACATTCATAACTACTGTCATATTTCATCTGAGCATGTATCTCTAATTCCCTTTCCAATTTCTTTCTTTTCTCACATTCTAATCTTTGTTATTAGTTTCAGAGAGCTGCACAAAAAATGTGGTATGAAGTAAAGAAATCTTACCTCTATTTTAATGTTCTGTACACTTATGGTTATTACAAACATCTAAATTTGTTTTGCTGTTGGTAATATGAACAGCTGAAAACCAGGAGATATTTTAAAGTCTCTTCTGATAAGTTCACATTTTTTGTCTGGCCCCATAAGAATGGCAGTACGGTTTCTTTTTATTTTTCTGTATACTAGTAAATGTACTATATTTCTCCTTAAATTTTTCATAAAACTGTTTAAAATAGACAGGTGTGCATATGAATTCATGTATTTGTAGGGTATCATTTAAGATATGTTGCTTTTCTTATCTCCTGTTCATGAAAATCCACAGAAGATGCATTCTTCTCACAACACCTGTTTTCCTGGGCTCTTAATTTCTCACAAAACTACCAAGACAAATTTTTGTTTCTTCTTGTGTGTTTTACTTAAAACTGAGAAACTCTGCAATTTGAAGAAATCATAGTTTGCAGCAATAAAGTTAACTTGTTAAAATATCTTTTCTTCTTTACTGAAGAGGTATGCCTTCATATAAAATTTTGTCTTCATCCATCAGGAATGTCAGAAGAAAACTGCTGTCGCTCATGTAGTTGTATAACCTAGGACCTCTAAGGACCTGGCAATTGCCTTTTCTTCTGCTGTGTCACATGGCCAGTAAAGGATTTTGTGAAAGGTGCTCCTTCATGATGGAAAGGGAGCAATGACAGTCTTAATTTCTGTGGTTTGCACAAGAGCCTCCAATTTACACCACTGTGGACTGCAGTACATACCAGTCCTCTAGAATTTATTCTACATATTTTGTTTCTGTTCATTGAGCCACTTCTCTGTAAGATTAATTGCAGTTATGTTTTTGGCCTGGCTTTAGATTTTTTCTAAGCAGTTGACCTCTCATGCTGAACCTCCAGGGCAGCATCCTACTGTTGGAGCTGTTTTGGATTATAATAGGACAAAGATTTCCACCCACTCCAGCACAGTCCTATCATATTTAGTTGTCGGTTTTCTGTCCTTCATTAACATTGTAAATTATACCATTGTGCTTCTGCAGACAATATGTTCCTTGCTTCCTTCTTCCAGTGTAGCTCTCCAATACTTTGCTGTGAGCAGAAATGACATCAAGTGAACATGCAATGAAATTACTCATATTACGTGCATGAGCAAGAATTCAGCTACTAGTGGTGCATGGCAATCAGGGAAGCATTGAATGGCCCACTGCCCATTCCTTCACTCAGTGGTCTCGATCTGCCTGTAGTATGTTATTGAGAGTTCAAAGAAGGCAAAAGTTTTTCAGACTTGCCCCCACCCTGGCTTCTTTAATACAGAAAGAAATGGAAAAGTTAGTAAATTCTAGTTTTAAAGTAATGAATAGTGAATCAATGGCAGCATGTATGCACTTGCTGAAGTGACAGAGAGGTGGACATCTATGAATAGCTAGAACACAAGGCAAATCACATCTTCTGCTTGAAACACATATAAGGCTTGTGTTGTGGATTGTTACAGAAAAATACAAGCTCAGGTTGAAAAAGAGATGGAAAGGATGGAATTATATCCATCCTTACCTTTATCATGGTCATAAGAAGTGAGACCTAGTAACAGTGAGAAGATGGAGTCTTCATTAAAATGGGGAGGAGAAAAATATGGTGTGGATTATAAAACAAAATTAAATGACAGAACTACAAAAACTTAAATCTAAAAATTCAAGACTGGCAAGTTGGAAAAGTAGTATTTGAAATGGGGGGGAGAAAGGAAGGAGGAAGTGATCTTTTTCTCCTTTTTTACCTGCTAATCTTGCAAGATCTGTCCTACTTTAATTCAATTTTTACCTTCTAGCATAGGTTTCCTGTTGTTTTACTTGGGTGTTCTTAGTGTATGTTATACTGTGGTAGTTTTCTTACCCCTTCTAAAATGTCTTTTGTCTGACTATCAAAATGAATTTGCTTGTTTGGTAATTTATTTGGTAATAACTGAACTTAAACGCGGATCAAAACATATTACAAAAATTTGTAACAGTTTGCAAACTGTTATCCTATTACTATTCTTTCCTACATTTTTTTTACCACCTCTTCCTCTAGTTAAGTTCTTGAGTCCACACTGAAAATACAATACTCAAAACAGGAGGGCAAAAAAAAGAAATTACAGATTTACATGACTGACAGCACTTTTGCTCTGTTTCTGATGTCTGAAGGCAGTTTCTCAGTGATGCTATTTTGTTTGATACAGATTTCTTGAATGACAAGGGACAGGGGGAAGACAGAGTTAATTCTTACCTAAATATGTTTGTATGCTATTAATTTTTTTTGTTCTCTAGGGCCAAACTTGGGATGCCCCAGTTCTTGAGTCCTGAAGCACAGAGTCTTCTGAGAATGCTCTTCAAAAGAAACCCAGCAAACAGATTAGGTAAAGTGTTTAGCAGAATATTTTAAATTTGATCATAAAGTTGATAACATCAATGATCATTAAACAGACTAAATAAGTATACAGTTTCTTGTGTAAAGTAGGCTTTGTAGTAAGAACATAGTTTGCCTCTTTGCTTTTCTATGATCAACAAAATATTATTTCTGCTATTCATGTCGAAAATAAATGCAGAAGAAATAAGAAATATAATTTTGCTAGACATTCTTTTGACCAAGAAGAAAATAATTCACAGACACTTTTCTTCCTTATAAAAGGAGCAGGTCCAGATGGAGTTGAAGAAATTAAGAGGCATGCATTCTTTTCCAAAATAGATTGGAATGTGAGTATCTATTTCAAAATTAGTTCAGTAAATTTCTTGGTTAAATGTTTGGTGGTGTTGAATAACTTTTTAATTCACTCTGGCCTATGCCTTCTCTCCAGAAATTGTACAGGAGAGAAATTCATCCTCCTTTTAAACCTGCAACTGGCAGACCTGAAGATACATTTTATTTTGACCCTGAGTTTACAGCAAAAACTCCAAAAGGTAAAAAGAGAATAAGTAAACAATTTACATATTCAAAAATTAGAAACATTGTTCCTGTTCAACTTATGTACAGTGTATTGTTCTTCCAGGTGTTGCTGGGCTAAATGAATGCTCACAGAGAAGTAGTCCATAGTTCATAAAAGTTTTTGTGGTCCTTCGTGTAAATATCACGAGGATATTTAACTGAGCTGTCCTATGTTAAAAATGAAGTAATCCTCAGCAACAAAACATATACATAAGTTCAATTTTATTTATCTAAGTAATCTCGTTTTTTTTAATCCAAAAAGATTATCTGTGTCTGTGTCTCTTTGAAGGTTATATTCTGTGGCTTCATTTAATTCATGATGGTGACTCTACATACTATGCATATGTAGCAACTTAGTAATTTCAGACTTTGGGTGGCAAAGTTGCTGTTTCAGTGCCATCTGTGTCTGCGTAGTTTTACACTGATCCGTTCAAAATATGATAGACATTTTTATCTTTACAAATTCAGGGTGTTACTAGAATTTGAGTGCTGCTTCTCCATAAATCTAACATAGATATGCTGCTATATGTAAATATTTTCTGCAGAGTATTGTTTTTTGTATAATAAAATATTGTCTGACAGCAATATGATCTTTGTAATCCTTGATTATCAGTTGTGCTTCCAGATGGTATATGCAGAACAGTTCGGTAATTATTTGTATTTTGGTCCTCAGAAACACTTTCTGCAAATTCCAGTTTCTGTGCACCTTCTAGAATAAAGCTGTAATTTCCTCTTCAGAGTAAATATAATCTCATCTCTACATTTTAAAAACTCTGTTTTTAAGTAGAAGATGTGTTTTTCAGATTCACCTGGTATCCCACCTAGTGCTAATGCACATCAACTTTTTCGGGGATTTAGTTTCGTAGCTATTGCATCAGATGATGAAAGCCAAGCAATGCAGACAGTTGGAGTGCATTCAATTGTCCAGGTGAGTACATCTGCTTTAAAAAAAAAAAAAGTCAATAAAGCAGTATTGCTGTCTCTTGGTGGAGGGATTGTTTCCTTCATCACAGAATGAAGTACCGTGACAAAGTCGTTATCACCTTTATACAAGAAAAGTAAGGAGCAGATTATGTTATCCAAACAAAACCTCTGAAGGTGCAAGGTCTGTTTAATTACTGAGCAGACATGGGTGTGAATAGACTTCAACCCTTAAATGGAAACATTCTACCATCTATACTGTAATAACTTCAATATCACAGAATCATTAAGATTAGAAAAGACCCTTAAGACCATTGAGTCCAGCTGTTAACCTAGCACTGCCAAGTCCACCAGTAAACCATGTCCCTAAGCACCACATCCACACATCTTTTAAATACCTCCAGGGATGGTGACTCAAGATCATCAAGTCCAACCATTAACCCAACATCACTATGCGCACTAAACCATGTCCCGAAACGCCACATCCACACATTTTTTGAATGCTTCCAGTGATGGTGACTCCATCCCCTCCCTGGGCAGCCTGTTCCAATGCTTGACCACTCTCTCAGTAAAGAAATTTTTCCTGATATCTAGTCTAAACCTCCCCTGGCACAAATTGAGTCCACTTCCTCTTGTCCTATTGCTGGTTACTTGGGAGAAGAGACCAACACCCACCTCAACACAACCCCCTTTCAGCGAGTTGTAGAGAGCGATAAGGTCTCCCCTCAGCCTCCTCTTCTCCAGACTGAACAACCCCAGTTCCCTCAGCTGCTCCTCATAAGACTTGTGCTCCAGACCCCTCACCAGCTTCGTTGCCCTTCTCTGGACACACTGCAGCACCTCAATGTCCTTCTTGTAGTGAGTGGCCCAAAACTGAACACAGGATTCGAGGTGCGGCCTCACCAGTGCCGAGTACAGGGGCACGATCACTTCCCTACTCCTGCTGGCCACACTAGTTCTGATACAGGCCAGGATGCTGTAAGTATAAGGTGGAGGGGAATAACAGACATCTTGATCTTTTTCCCCCATGCATGAAAATACTGGTTTATTTCTACAGTACAGGTGGAGGCGCTGGAGTACAATTGTGAATTGTATCTGGATGTTTTGGATTGCTTTGTGTTTTGGAACCTATAACCCAGGACGTATTCTGTCCCTCCCAAGCCACTTTAAGTTAATGTGCTAATCTGTGATATTTTGTGACCAATTTCAGTGTATCATATAAGGCAATGTTACAGTACCTACACAAACTTTGGCTTCCTAGCAGTATTAGAATGACTCCAGTACAGTCTCCTGTATTAATAATTGTGAGGCTGTCACTTTTAATAGCCTAATTCAGTTGCTATTCTTATATGTTCTGTTATAAGCCAGGACTGCTTATTTTTGGACAACAAGGCTTTTCTTAGGTGTAAGTCTTGTGTGAGACAGAAAAGGTGGACCTCATGCTAGAATGAGGGAGGGGCATGCCTTGCCTCCTTGTGAGGCTGAGGTCATTGTGAAAGCACCCATCAGCACTGGAGAGTTTGCAGCCTGTGGGGAAAAAAGCAGATGCACGTGCAGGAAAGCAAACTGGAAGACCTCTGCAAAAATTGTATTTCTACCTCTTCTTTCTGTTTTTAATAATTCTAATTATTGAGGAAGGCTGAGTTGTGAAAATCAACTGGTAACCTAAATTGTGTTGAAAACTTCTTATTGGTGTATAGGTAGGAATAAAAAGGTATGCTGTATGATTGGGTTTATTTATATTTTTACTGCAATGATATTTTGCACGTCTGAGAGAATTTTTAAAACACAGTTTATTCAGAACATGAATACCTCTTGTATTTCTTTAATCCTCTTACTATGTATAGAATAGTCATAATGTATTTGTTTGTACACATGACCTGTTTCATGTGTAATGAACCATTAAATTTCAAGGGTTTTTAGATCCTTTTTTATTCTAAAGAAGCTATCTGATTTGGTATATGGGTCAGAATGACTTCTGGTCCTGAAGTCTTGCTAAAAGTTTCTACAAGGTCTTCTGTGCTCCTTCTTACCCACATAGATTTTTGGATTAAATTCTGTATCTTTGTATATGGTTTCTGTCTCTTGTAAAAGTCTATTTCTCTGCTGCCTTTCCTCTGTGCCCCTCAACCACTTCCTCACTCCTATTTCCTCTTTTCTGTGCTGCAGGATACCCAGATGGTTTCCTGCAAATGCTTTGCATCCTTTGCACAAACGCCTTATACTAGAACACCATTTCCTTCCCTTACAGGAGTCAACACTTGTCCTTCTTTCAGCTTTTTATTTCTGTGAAAGGATTTTTGACTGCCATTCCACGCGATTTCCAGTTAATCTGTCTCTTCAGTATGTCTGAATTTTCCAGCTGGCATTCATGTATTCAGATAATAGAAACAGTGATGCTGTTTTACCATTATTTTATAATGTAGTCTTCTGGTCATCTTTGTTTTGGAGATTCTATCTTTAAATTAATAAATCAGTAACCAGAAACATCATGTTGTCAGTTTCTAAAATACAGTGTGCATTATTTACAAAGTATTTAATATATAATTTATCTCATACTAATAGCAAACAGAAGGTAGTGGCTGTTTAGACTACTTGGACCTAGTACAGTCATCAGTTTAAAACTCGAAGCAAATCACTAGGAATTCAAAAAAATTATTCTTAATATTAATTATTATATATTTAGAATAGTCATTAATTGATAATGTTATTTTGGTAGCAGTTGCACAGGAACAGCATTCAGTTTACTGATGGATATGAAGTAAAGGAAGATATCGGAGTTGGATCTTACTCTATCTGCAAGAGATGTATTCATAAAGCTTCAAATATGGAATATGCTGTAAAGGTAATTACTTTGTTATAAAACACACAACTCTCTTCAGTTTTTAGCATCAGTGACATTGGGCATCATTAATTTATTTGCCATAAAGAACATAGCAAATATAGATAATTTTTTTAATATTAAAAAATGTAGATACAAATGTGAATTATACTAATCAACCAAATAAAATATTTACTGGCAGATATTTATATAGAATTGCTATTGGTTTTGTTGTCTATATGCTGGTTTTGGTGGTGAAAAGCAGTCTTCAGTCTTTGAAACACCTATGTAATTACAGTAAAACTGATGAGAGTTACATGACTGATTCTAGAAGGAAATGTGCTATGAAAAGCTTACCTGACTTTCCATCATTTTTTAAAAATACAATATGGGGGGTTTTGCTTCCAAAGTAGATTCATAAATTTTCAGATAGCTAGGAGTTTATAACAGTTTTTAACAAGGTTTCTGATGTTGTTTTTATGCTATTCTATTGGGCTTTCTAGCACTTCATTGAACGCATTAAATTCTTAGTTGAAATCAGTAGAATTCCCAAAAGTGGAATCATAAGTTTATCTTGTTGGCTTTCTGTATAACACTGTGGAGCTGAGTGGTTATTATGAAAGCAGGAGTATAGATTAGCAGACTTTAAAAGGAAGAAAAAACTAAATGCTGTATTGTGAGGCAGTTACCTGCTTGAATTTTTGAACAGTTTACTACTCAGATGTGTAAAATGCGAAGATAAATTATGTTTTGCTGTATCCTTGTCCACAGATTGTCTACTGGAAACCCTTCAATTTCAATTCGGTAGTTACACACTTGTCATTATTCTGGTTCTGCTTAGGAACAGATTTGACTTTTGTGCTTGCAATTTGAAGTAATTTCTCAAAACTCTAAGAAAGTACTGGCATAGCTGTTAATTCTCAAAGCCGTAGAATTTATCACAGTCCTCACAAGGATTGCCTCGCTTTTCTGCTGCCTGTATTGTGGCTTTTTTCCTGCAAGGAATCATGAAAAAAGAATAAGGTGATTAGTGTTCAATGTGTTGGGATGGTGCTTGTAGCAGTAAGGGCTTTAGGAAGTCAAGAGGAAGAAGGGGTAAGACAGAGATGGAGAAAGGTATTAAGAGGAAATTCTGCAAGTTCAGAAGGAGAGAAAAAAGGAGAATAAGAATACGTTTTAAATAGGGCAAAATAATGTTTTGCTTGTTTGCATGGGGAGAACTTCAGATCCTATCAGGCAAGCCTCCAGAGATTCCAATGAACTTTCATAACAGAATGCTTCTCTGGATTAACTCTTAAGAAATTTTTCCTTTTTCTTATTTTTTGATTCTCTTACTCTCCTGCTTTGTCTTTTGCTGCACAAAATAATTTGTTTGAGATTAGCCTTGTGAAAATTAGTTCATTAGCATTGTCAAACCAGTATCTCATGTCAAATTAGGAACTTCCTATTTTATTAAATGGTGGGTGACTGAAGTCTTATGTACTAAACAGCCTTGCATTATTTATCCCAGTCTGAGGGATGAGATCACTTATCCTCCAAAATTGTTTTCAACTGAGATTTTTCCCATGTTTTTCCAACATTTTTTGCTTTGCCTTGCTGTTCCAACTTAACAAACTTTGTTTCGATTATAATCCATGCCCTTTACCAACAACAATAAATATTGCTTATCTGTTTATGCCAGTAAGCATGCCAAAGTGTTACACTATACAATGTTCACAAAAAGAATTATGCCTATGTACCTATTTGCTCTTGTAGATCATTGACAAGAGTAAAAGAGATCCAACAGAGGAGATTGAAATCCTACTGCGCTATGGACAGCATCCAAATATTATTACCCTAAAAGATGTAAGTAGTATATTAAAGACATCCGTTAGTGTATTATAATTGCATATCACTTTCTAATTTGAGACATGACAAACTACGTGTTTTAGATTTATGTCACTGTTTTTCAGTATTTAAAAATGAAACAATGTCCTAATGCAGTTTATTCAACAGTATCCAATTTTTACTGAGATGTCTCACTGTCATCTTTTAAAGGTGCTTATATTTTGGTACAACATAATCCTAAGCACCCAAATAATTCATCCTTCATAAATCCCAGCACAGGAATAATTAATTTAAAATGGTCTGTATTTTTAAAAGAACAAGCAAGTTTTTCGGTTGCTTAGTTAACCTCAAATCTACTTTTGTTTACATTAGTCAAAAGCAATTTTAAAGTGCATTATTATGTAAATGAGGACGTGCTGTTTCAGATAGCACAATACCCAGTCATTTTCATGGATAGTAACAAGTGTTACTCAGTAATGGACAAAATCTCTTCATATCCACAGTCATCACTTTTCTTTACCTGGTATCTTTATCTGGTCTTTGTACGGAAGATTATCTGGCTATGTTTTGCTTGTATTATTTGCTCTGACCATGGAAACACTTTGACCATAAAAAGAAAAGAATAACATAGTTTGGGAGGTAGAGGTTTTTCATAGTGAACAGTAGATTTTGAAGCTCTAACAGAAAAATTTGCTTTCTCGTCTTGATTATGCATTAAAGAGGATTAATTAAAAATTAAAAAGGCATATGATGAATGACTTTATTAGCCTGCAAGAAAGTATTCTGGTCCCCAAAACCAAACCTCAAGCAAAACAGCTAACCACTTAGAGGAAGCTGAGCTCAGCTGAAGGGAGATTCTCAGACATTTTGAAGTCATTAAGACAGTAGCTTGTAAATACTGTGGACATGAGTACTAGAGCACTCTGCCTCGAGGTCATCTCCTACGATAATCTGTCTTCACTTTATCAATATCATGTAGTTTGGCCCTTTCTTGGGAGAACAGAATAAGTCAGATATACCATGGAGCTTATCTTATTGCAAGCTAGATACCCACTTTCTCTTTGTTCTGCTTCATATGGTCTGACTATAAAGCTATCTGAAAGCAACAGTGCTAATATGGAACCTGCATCAGCATTCAGGTTGCTTTTAGTGATGCATGCTAGGTTTATGTGTTACTTTAATTCATAATAGAGGTTATGTTATTTAAGCAGGAAGGCAAACATAAGGAATGGGAATACTTACTGAACTTAAGCATTATGACTATTTTTCACTGAGAGAGAAATGCAGGCAGCCTTGAAAAGTTGCCACATACGCTGAATCGTTCTACTTTGTAATTAATTCTTCATCATCATCAGTCACCTTCCAGTAGGAACCATCTTTCATTCACACCAACAGTAATATGCACATAACAAAAGGAGACAACAACAAAAAAAATCCTTAAGTCCACAGAGGAAGAGAAGACAGTAGGCTGTAATTCTCACTTCTACTTCAGATCAGTTCCTCAAGCCCAGTTTATGGAAGTATGTCCACTGTAAGGAAAGAGATACAGGATTCATGTGTATTAGAAACTTGTTATAATAACCACTACTGTAAAAATTAAACACTGTTAAAAGTTTTCACTGTCCTAATACAGATGCTTGGGGCAGATTGCTTGTATATACCACAATGTAGTGGTGTGCTATTACAGCTTTCAGAGGAAAGTATAAGGAGTACTTGGCCTTCAGCCCTCAAACTCATCAAGAGCACCATGTGTTATTATACCAATAAAACTCAATGTTGATTTGACTCAATTTTTTATTCAGTTCCACACCAAAATTTAAATGTTTCTATTTTGAAATAACAAAATAAAATGTTTCAGCATTAAGTGCATGTCTTTGGAAATCGTTATTCTGCAAGAAATAATTTCTCTCTTTCCTTGTATTTCAAGAATAAATGCAGTAATATTTGAATTTAGCTTAGGATGGAAATTTTCATTCTTGCTCGGCCTTTTTATGTAATTGAATTCTGAAGGTCTTCGGATTGAAACAATGGATATTCAAAAGACCTAATTCTTTCTGCAATGCATAGTCCTCTGGGATTTTTCTTTCTGATTGTTATCAGTGGTCTTTTTCAGTTACACGGTATGTAAACAAAAGAAGGAGCTATATTGTGCTAAATCAGATGTCCTTCTTATCCAGTATCCTGCCTCTGGCAGTGGCCATTAGTGGATGCCTAGGAAACAGTGTAAGAACAGAGGAAGCGCACAGCTTCCAATAAACCATTACCTAGAAACTTCCTGTGCCAGACCGTTACATGTATTTTACCCTTTTTTACCTATTAGTTACTGTTCTGTAATAGAACTTTTATCCTGTTTTGAGTTATTTAAAGCATTGGCTAAAGAATCATTTCAGAAGCATTTTAGAAACCTGAATATAGTATATCCAGTTTTCCTGTCCAAGTGCTTATTTAGGAATTCCAAAAAACTCCTAATATGTATGCGAAATCTTTTTCACTTTGCAAAAAAACATGTTCTCTTTCTCCATTCCATTATATTTTGTTCATGTGCCTACACCTGTTTCTCCCTAGTTTCTTCCAGTTTGCCTTTTAGAGAAGACATACTGACTGATATTTGGCATGTGCCAGGAGTTCATTTTAAAAACTAGCATGACATTTATTATCTCGGCTTAATACTGTGAACCTAACTGTGAAGAAAACTTCAACGGTATTTATTCAGTGCAACAACTAAATTGATAATGCCGTTAGAGAAATCAGGGCGAGGGGAATGGTTTTGTTGGTTTAGTTTTTTATTTTTGGCAGGCAGACAGGACCAGCAAGGTGTAGCAGATAAAATAGTAACCAAATGCAAATTTTGCTTGAATGCCCCCTGCAGTACTGAGTTGTGTGTGTTTTGTCATGTCAAATGAAATAAGCTTATTTCCTCATGTTATACCAGGATTAGAGGGAGCCTACCTGTTAAACAAAAAAATCTAAAATGCTAGTTTAGCATCTAGAATGAGATAATTCTGCTTTTAATACTGTGTAATATTTGAAGTCTTCATAAAAACACATTCAGATGATCAGCCATTTATATTTCGGAGGGGGAGGGGATTGCTGTTAAATGAGAACATAGAAACCCATCATGTCTTACTCTCCTTAAGATCATAAGCTTGTCAAGCCTGCAGAATTATTTCTTTTTCACTCGTCCTCTTTTTTTTTTATTTGGCAAGACAATAAATCCTTTCAGTATAGTTAAGAGCACAAAAATTTCTAAGCTTAGAACTCTAGCAGTCTATATTTCCCAGCTAGCTTAAAACAAAGAAATTGGGATGAAAACTTTTTTTTTTAATTCAGCTGACATCTATTTATTTTACTACGACTTGGATGATTGTTTCTTTTTAAACTAGGGTTTTTTTCACATGTATTACTGAAGAGAATGATGACAACATCACCATGAAAAATAGGTTGAAATAATAATAGGGACAGTGTGTGAAAGGTTTCACTAAAGCAGGAACCACATTCGGGGTAAAGTTAAAACCCCAAGAAAGTGCAACTGAAATGAAATGCATAACTATACCTTAAAACATGTTTTGGTCTAGTTCAGTCTGTAGTGCCCCCTGGTGATAATATAAATAATTCTCAGCTACTGTTTCCCTAGAAGATAAAAGACATGCAAAAATTAAGCCATTTTCCATAACTAGAAGTAGGGGCTAAAATATACGTGTTTTAGTAATTTTAGACTTTGGTTTAGGCTTTATGTGTGGAGTAACATGTAAGTTGTGGACTTGTACCATAGCAGCTTTCTATGCATTAACTTCAGTGTTCAGAGGCCATTTGAGGTGAACTTAGTTTTTTCCTTTTTTTATCTGACACTTCAGTTGGAATTATCTCTGTTCATATTTGTAATTTGCTGCAATAACTGCTTCTAGAATTGGCTCTGGTTTTGCCTTAATTGGACTAGTATCCATTTGTTACTACTTAATTTCTCCCATGTCCAGTTTAATTTGTTTCAGTAAAACTATGTGAGGAAAACTACATGTTATTCATCCTTTTTTGTCTTTTTACATTTACAAGCCAGTATTTTTATGTTATTCTGTTATTGTACTACCTTTTTGTAGAAGGTTTTGTGTTTATGTCTGAAGATGAACAATGTTTGGATAGTGTGTGGGGTGAGAAATATGGGGGAAAATAATGGAAGAAAACAGCTTGTGGATGCACCTGCACTATCTCTGTACATTTCACAAGAAGATAGCAGAGCCTAATATTTTGAAGTTGACATCTTTGTGTACTTTTTGCAGGTGTATGATGATGGAAAATATGTATACGTAGTAACAGAACTTATGAAAGGAGGAGAACTGCTGGATAAAATTCTTAGGCAAAAATTTTTCTCAGAACGAGAAGCTAGTGCTGTTCTGTTCACAATAACAAAAACAGTTGAATATCTCCATGCACAAGGGGTAAGTTTTCATCTTGGGCAGAATGCGTATAGATGTTAATATTCTTCTCTTTCAGAAGTATAAACTCTTATCTTGACATGTTCTTCTGTGCAGTAATTAAGTAATTTTTGGTAAATAATTACATTGCAGCAGAAAAACATTCCTCATCAGCTGTGTAGATGTTCAGATAAAGGAGATGATGCAGCTGTTTCTCTTGTCCTGTATGCAGTCTGTCAGCAGTTCTGTGGAACATGCAGATAATGACTAATAGATAGGATAGGAGAGGAAACAAGCCAGGAAGAAGTGCTAGGACCACTGCTGTTGCTTAGCCATGGGATCTAATGTAATTCTAATCTCGTCATGTGATAGACCCTGAAAATTTATTTTCCACCTATCACACTTGTAATTTCTTCCACTTCTTGGTTTTGAAGAACACTGTTTACGAGTTAACTTCTGTGCCACAGGGTCAGGAAGTTGTAGTGGACTGTTAGGAGAAAGAAAATTAATGCTTCAGGAAATTAATTTGGAGACAGAGGAAGTAGTTCAAAGATAGACAAGGCAAATATGACAATTGCATGGCAAGAATGACAAGTCATATTGCATTTTTAAGTAAAGAAGAAAAGGGGGATAGAGAAAAAAACAAAGTAAGGGTGCAAGGAAAAAGTCAAGCTGCTAACATCTAATGTTATTATCCAGGGAAAGGTGCTTCAGAATGGATAGTAGTCAAATTATTTTAAGTAACAATTCAGCGTACACAGTTATTTCTGAGAGCTATTATTTCAGAAAATTTAGGGTCATAGTTTTCTGGTGTATCTTACTCTGTGATTCATCGCTTTCTTCAATCACTTGCTCACATGGGGGTTTTTATTTGAGCCCCTGTGCACGGGACTAGGATCCTTGGCCAGCAGTATCCATGGGAATTATGAATAAACCTCCATACCTTCTGTATTGAAATATAAATAAAAGACTAACAAAAATCATAACTTGTTCCCTTCTTACCACACGTAGCCAAAAAAGGCCCAATGTCCTTGCATCAAGTAAGGGGTTTTAGGGGCTTTTGTTTTTTTCTTTACTGTAGATCTTTGTAACTATTGGCATTTTAACTTGCATTACATCGTATGCTCTTTGGAACTTTTACTTTTGGCCGTTTTCAGATTGTCTTATGTTAAGTACACCTCTGCATGAAAGATGGCCACATATGTAAATAGTGAGCACTTCAGTAGTGTAATTTTTGTCTGGAAGAGTCACAGAATCACAGAAACACTTAGGCTGGAAAGGACCTTCAAGATCATCAA